TTAAGGGAACACATAATGAAAATGTAAAGCACCAAACTTAGGAGCACCCTACTGTATCAATCTAGAGAATGCAACTGAGAAGCATGAATAAGGTAATTCAAATGAGATATCCTTAAAATTGCTGAGAACAGATCACCAAATGAGTAAGACATGTAGAAATGATGAAGGCAAAATAATGATAGCAACGAATATAAAACAAGGATATAAGACTTATCGAAAATCTCAAATAAGACATTAACCTTTTTGAGATGTTATAAGTAATTAAGACATTAACCCTTTTTGAGATGTTAGCAATTCCTTATCGAAAATCTCAAATACGACTTCTCATCTATGACAAAACAAAATTAAACAAAAAAAAAAAAAAGAACTAGAAACTAGCATTTAGACAAAGTCATCTAGTAAGACCAAAATAAATTTGTTTCTCATGATTTTTAGACTATTCATGATCAAATACGGAGTAGCTGAACTATATTAATCACGTATGCACAAATTATCTATTGTTATACACATTACAAATCATACCATATAATATGTTTTCCAAATAAACTAACAGAATGGCAAATTCTAACCATTTTATATTAACAGACAATAGAATAGCATATATTTTAGCCTTATGAACAAGATTATTCAATACGAACATGATTTATTCAATGCCTACAATATATTTGAAAGCTAAGGAGCAAGAACAAACGAATACAACCTCCAAATCATACAAAGGATTGACCGACTGAAACGGAGTCCGAACAACGACTCAAGATCAAAAGCGAGAGAGTCAAATACACATAAATATTTAAAGAGAACCACCAACTACATAATAAGAAACAAGAAATGTTAAAAAGGAAGAGGGATTACCCTTCTTAGGGCAGCGAATCCGGGATAACGAGATTGAACTATGAAGCTTCCACCATAGGGAGCTTTCGATGAACTTCGAAGAACAATGAAGGAACGAGAAGGAAACCAAGATTTGGACTCAAGACCCTATGACTCAAACGTTAAGAGCACTGGTTCTTCCACTATATATCCACTCTCTATTCACCTCAATTTCGGCTTCTATCGAGTGTGTTTTTCAGTGTCGCTCTATATCTCGTGTCTATTTTATTTCTATCTTCTCTGTCTCTATCCCCTGTCCAACCCCAACAGTGAAGAAGAAGAAGAAACTATTTATAGATGAAATTAGGGCTGAAAAGAGGGGGAATTTGGGATGGATTTTGAATTCGAAATTCAAATTTTCTTTAAGAGGTAAGGTTGAAAGCTGGAATAGTACACATCCTCAATGGATTTCAAAGGAGGAACGTCTGATTTGAGAAGAAGGACGAGCGAGGAAGGAGATTACGACATCTGGAAGATTCTCGAACGGTCTTGTGCGAGATGATAAGGGAGAGATGAGAGAATGACGCGCTGGAGTTGCTGGACTCGGGTCGCGATTTGGGTTCGTCTGGTTTCGCGATGGGCTGCTGCTGCTAGAGTTATTCATTTTCTGGGCTGCTGCGTTTCATGGGATCGCTCGGTTGAAGGAGGCGAAAAATGAGGTGGGGTCGTTTTTGGTGTATTGTTGTACGTATTGTTGATGTTGGGTTATTTGGAATTGTATTGGAATGGGTTTACTAGAATATTGTATTGTAATATTGTTGGTGTATTGTTGTACGTATTGTTGATGTTGGGTTATTTGGAATTGTATTGGAATGGGTTTACTAGAATATTGTATTGTAATATTGTTGGTGAATGGGCTTTTTTTGTTGTGGGTCGGTTAGGAGGAGATATGGTGGGCTAAGGGAATAAGATTTGATGGTAGCAATTTGGACCAAAGTGTGATCAATTTGAATTGAGAAAATAACCACATGAATTGTATATTTAATCAAAATTAGAATAAGACAAATTAAAATAAATTAATTAATGAGCTTCTTAGTTCTAACGAAATAAAATAATTAATTTAAATATAAACTAAATAATTTAAAATATAGACTATTATATAACTAAACTAATTAACCAAATAATTAAGTAAAATTAAAACCCTTTTGAGGCGATTTTGAATATTTATAAAATATAATAATTATATGCATGATCATTTAGAACGTATATATTATTTAAAAAGTTATAAAAGTGACAAAACTATTAAAAATAACTTGAAAAGTATTTTAAAATTTATAAAGTCAATTATTTCAAATAGTTTGGAATTTAAGAAGCTCGATGATTAATATATATCGTGAATGGTCAAAATTGGGTGTCAACAGTGGTCATACTAAAAGTGATATAATTAGAAATGAGGATATCCGGAATAAGGTGGATGTGACCTCTGTGATTGACAAGATGAGAAAAGTGAGATTGAGATGGCTTGAACATGTAAAAAGGAGATGCATAGACACACCAGTAAGAAGGTATGAGAGTTGGTTATAGAGGGTACGAAGAGAGAAAGAGATAGGCCAAAGAAGTTTAGGGAGAGGTGATACGACATGATATGGCGCAACTTCAGGTTACCGAGTACATGACCCTAGATAGAAGAGTGTGGAGGTCTCATATAAAGGTAGAAAAGTAGTAGGTATTGTAGTGTTGTCTTGCTTACCGAGTACATGACCCTTATTTATTATTGTTTGTTAATAATCTCTACCTTAGTATGTTGTTTATGACATGATTTTATTATTATTTGACTACTTTTACACTGTTTCTTGTTTTAATTTCTCTTTATTATCTTCTTCTTCATACCAGGTTTTTCCTATAAGGGTGTGTTTGGTTGGAAAGAGAATATCTTTAATATTTTATTTTCTAATTATTTTTAATTTTCAACTGATTATATATTTTGATAAACATTTTATCTAAAAAATGAAGTTTGTCAAAAATAAGAAAAATGACATGCCTAATAAAAGTAGGAAAATGTCACAGCCCAGAACGTCGTGATTGGCACCCACACTAATCCTCCGGTGGGAGAATCATTAATACTGATCAGCTAACCAAGAACTACACAACTTAATCAGAAACTAAGGCATTTAAAGTTACGGAAGAAGGTTTGAATGCTAAAGGAAAAATAGAGTTCTCATAAATTCCAAAGTTTAATCAAACAACTGTGGAAATAATGCCTAGAACCTGAAAGTAAATGTACCAAAACTCTAACAAGGATCATAAGTCTAAGCAAATGGGCACAACCCAATTAAATATAAGAAAATCTAAAGTACTAGTCTAAGTACGAAGATGTGGACATAAGCGAAAAGAGAACTCATGGTAGCCCGGAAGAATTGGCTCACCCTTGAATTCGATTGATCACTGATCTTCTAAGCGAGGCCTGCCAATAGCCGCCTGAAGATGCCTGTACTCAACAAAGAAAGAGCAAGTGCAGTATCAGTACACAACCACAGTGTACTGGTAGGATCACACGGCTATCCTACTAAGCGAATATATATAAGTCATTACAACATAATAAACATGCATATACCGAACATATACAATATCAATTATCATTTACGAACAACGTAACATTTCACAATTCTCAAGATATACAGTTATGTCAAGTCAATGGTCCTCTCATGAACCCACACCTAAACTGTTAGTGTACCGGTACGTGGTACCCGTTCCAAGTTAGTGTGTCGGATCGTGACACCCGTTCCAATGTTTATGCCGATATGTGGGAACCGATCCCAGTTAGTGTGACAGAACGTAACACCCGATCCATTCAACAAGCCACAATCACAATCACAATATACATTCTCATAATCATACAATCAAGTCATGATTCATGGCATACAATTATTCAATCATCCTCATTTACGATTAGTGTGATCAATAATGCAACATTCGCATATATACATGCATCATGATGAAGTAATTACAAATACATATCACACCAACATAAAATCACAACCATCACTTACCTCAAACAAAACTTGGATCCCCTAAGAAACTTGATTCTTCCCTTTCCGAATTCTTTCCGCTTGTTCTTGATCTACAAACAATCAATATAACACGAAAATCAATAAACGATGTCTAATTACCCGGATTAAAGTCAACACTATTAACCCTAGATCAAACTCATGCTCCCAATATCCAATTAGGGCTTTCCCACCATCCAAATAGCTCTAAAACCCCTCCCCAACAATAATTACCCATGAATTTACGTTCTACAAATCGAAAAATGGATTCGAGGAGTAAAAACATTACCTTTAGCCTCAAGAATGGTGAAAACGGTCAAGAACTCGCTTGAGTCGTTTCTTAGCTCTCAAAAATGAAACTTGCAGAAAATAACGATTTTGAGATTTATTTCCGACTTAATTCACGATTGTCCCGCCATGACGGGCCTAATCCTGCTACAACGGCCCCGCCCTGGCAGGAATAATTCCGCCACAACGGCTTGCACGGAAACAGAGAGCTAAACTACGAGTTCCAAACCCCCCATTTCACAACACACCTTCATCCCACGACACTCAGAAAATATATGTTCACACTAAGATTAATTTCGGGAGTTCTACTCGCCTGAATTCGATTCCATAAAGTCGTATGGATTCCTTAACGTCTTAGCTATCTACTCATGCACTCAAATTCCTAGTTAATTCACCCAATCGTTACCAGATTTCTCTAGATTCACATGACTCCGATTTCGTCCAAATCTTGACTAGGCTAGGAAATTCAAGTTACTACCAAAAAGTTTTCCGGCTCAAAATTTTCCCCGTTGACTTTTCTATAACGACGAAAATCGATAGTTACAGAAATCAATGTCCACATCTCATCTTTATTCTCATACCATAATAGAGGCGAATTCAAAATTTAAATTCAAAGAATTCAACCTTTTAAAATTCTTAATATTGAATCCATTAATTTTTTTTAAAAAAAATTTGTAAATTCATGTCTATTATTTATTATAGGTTTAATAAATTTCTGCTCCGCGTCATGGTGCCTATATGTTAAAAACATTCAACAGAAAAAACTGCCAAAAATCCCTCTACACCTCTCCCTCCCACCCCACACCCACTCTCAATCCAAAAAAAAAAAAAAAAATTGCCTTGCAACTTCAACATATTTTTTTGCCTGTTCTCCTAGATCTCCAACAATTTCCCTTCAATCATTAATTAAATAGTTAACATTTTATCAGGTAATATTTTCTTAATCTGCTGATTTAATTAATAACATGTTTCTCTTTTGTACATAACATGTTTTTTGATCATTAAGATTGATAATTTTTGTTTTAGTATTTTTTTTCTTCTTAAAATAAAACAGGTAATTGGGAAAAAAGGTTGGAGATGAATAAAATGTTCAAAAAAATGAAAGGAGAGGAAAAGATAGAAAAGATAATTCGTGGTCTTTTAAAGCTTCAACACAACAGGAGATGTATCAATTGCAATTGTTTGGTATGTAACCCTACCCTTTCAAATTGTTGCTTTCTTTGATTTATTTATGTGGTGCCCTGCGTAGCAATTTACGAATCTAGAATCTAGAGTCACAGTTAGGCTCATTGTATATATTTTAAAATTGTTCTTGAATATGTGTACGTAGTTCGAGATGAAATTAATGAATTCAGTTGAACATGAGAAATGACAAGTGAAATTGAAATTTGCATATGTATACGTAGTTCGAGATGAAAGTAATGAGTTTAGTTGAACCCGAGAAATCAACAAGTGAAATTGAAATTCGCATATGTATACGTAGTTTGAGATGAAATGAATGAGTTCAGTTGAACCTGAAAACTCGACAAGTGAAATTGAAATTCGCACTTAAGGAAGAGTACTAGAAGTTTCACGTGACTTTCCCTTGGGGTTCAACGTTGGAATAGGCAGTGGCGGAGCTAGGAATTTCACAAAGTGTGTCCATAAATAGCACAACAAAAGCTCTTTTCAAAAAGTAGAACTAGTGAGATTCGAACATACGAGCACTTCCTCATTCCAAGGAGGTGAAATCACTAGGCTATAACAACTTGTTATCTTAAGGGTGTCCAAAATATATTATTTAATCATTTCGTGTATCATTTTACTTGAATATACTGTATTTTTTTCCGACAAAGGGTGTCCAATTGGATACCCTGACCACCATGTGGCTACGCCACTGGGAATAGGGCACAATGGAAGAAAATGATAGTATATATAGCCTGATACTATCATTGTGATTAAGTTTTAGTCACGTTAGTAAGTCGAGTTTAGGTCCTTTTCTCTAGAAGTCCTTTAGTCATGGAAAATTTTTATGTTCTTATTGTTATTTTATTATATATTTGTATAGTATTGGACACAAATGAGGTTAATTAGCGCGATATGGATAGTTAGGATTCATATAGCTGATTGAGAAAAATACTTATTTGCGCACAAAGTTCCATCTACATGCAATGGAAGGCTTGTTATTTGTAGGAGAAAATGGCAGTAAGGCTCAACTCAGATCCCCTTATCAACCGATATTTGTATTTAACTTTGTTTTCGAGTGATCAGAGGGACAATTTCTATTACATATGCTTAATTAGCTCCTCAATCTTAAATGTGTCTGTCTTTGTTTATTTTCCAGTGATCTGAGGAACATTTTCGTTGCATCTTTTGTTCCTAGCAGGGGCCACAATACATTTGCACAACTTTCTGGACATTTGTCTGCACACGTTGCAGCGGAGTGCAGTGAGTATCATCTAATCTTCCCTTCATGTGTACTCTGGAGTTATATAAACCGTGTTTTATTGTTAAGTAAACGGGATAAATTGTTTTCTGTTTGATTCTCTGGATTTGATGATTCATTTTTTCGTTGAAATGATTTTTCAGCCGTGAGTTCACACATAGGGTGAAATCTGTGTCAATGGCTAGATTTAGTGAAGAAGAAGTTAGTGCTTTGGAAGCCGGAGGTAATGAGGTATGCGCGCACATTTCGCCAAAGTTTACTTTTAAATCATCCTTGGATCATAGGCAAATTCACTTCTCATTTTTTAGCGAGCTAAGGAAATCTACTTCAATACATGGGATACGTATCGTAATTCATATCCAGATCCCAGGTAATTTTTCTTTCTAGAAAGTTATTCCCGGTAATGTGGCACAATACTAATGTTGTTTTTGCATAACAGTGATCTTTACAGACTTCGGGAGTTTATAAAGCATGTGTATGTGGACCGGAAATATACAGGTGAGAGGGGCAGCGAGAAGCTTCCTGTAGTGAAAACGGTAAGTGTCCACCAAAAACATTTCATGCTAGATCGATCCTGCAGTTGATAATGTATTATAGTACTTTTTGATACAGAAAATACTATAGATTATGGTGTTTATACATCCGCCTAATCAATGACTATTCATGATTCCATAATTGAATCAATTCCATACCGGTTTTTAGAGGAATGTTATAGTAAAACTTCATTTGAAACAATGTGGTATATAGCAACGTGTGACTTGAAGAACACAATCTGTTGTGGATTTGTACATATAGCTTTCCTACTCCTCTTCAGACACTTCTGCTTTGTATTCCGCAGAGTTTTAAAGATGACTACAAGGAAATGTACAGTTCCAGAGCTGGAGATGCTGACAGATGTTCGTCTGAAACATACAGTCCAAGAAGGAGTGATGATATGAACTTAAGATCATATTCCAATATCGAGGATAGAAGAAGTCCCCGTAATTACAACCAAGGTGCGAGGTCTAACAGGGAGAGGAGCCTATCAACGCGCTTTGAAATAGTTGATGACAGGTTCCGAGATGATGGAAGTAGTGATATTAAGCGATATCAATATCATATATTCTCAAAATCAGAGCGTAGAAGTAACTCGCCTGCTAGTTCTCCCAAAATACATTCGATCAAAGACATCTTGGGTGATAAAGTTATACCACTAGAGGTTGGTGAGTCTCCTAAACAAAGTGCAGGCGGGGTTACTCGTGAAAGCTCTGCTAATGATGAGGTGAGATTTGTGATCATTTCAAGTTACTTGTGACACTTCCCTTTGTAGTTTTTACAAGAAAAAAGTAGCATCTTTCTATATTTGAAAACTCCTTAACGTTAGACTTCTCAGTTTACCCTTAATGACATGCTATTGTAGTTATAGAAGTGTTATGGTATGTTTAAGACCACGAGTTTCAAGAATACTTTTAGTATGCGCTAAAAGTCCGTCTTTCTTAAATTTTGTGTCTGGTGAAACATTAGCATATAAAATTTGACAGAGAGAGTAGATGTTTTTGAAAAAAATAAAAACTAGAGTATTTAGTCCTGTAAAATTCTCGACAACTAGAGTACTTAGTATAACTATGCAATCTTGTTATAACAATGTATCTTAAATGTCTTGTTCTTTCCTTGTGTCGCCGCACCCAATTCAATAGTTATTGTCATATACATGTATCTTATTTATCATTATCCATGCAACTCTTTTCTCAAGTAAAATGATGAATTTGAGTCTTATATATCTGTTATTGAATAAGATCACTATTCTCTAAGCTTGATTTCCGCTTGGGTTTTCGATAAATGGGAAGTGGTTTCCATATCAATGTTACATGACCTATAAAACTCTTAATTTCAGAAAATGGAAAAGGAAAAGGAAAAGGCAGCGGTCACCAATATTGATAGCTTAATTGATTGGGAAACTGAACCTCAGCCTCAGCAACAGTCACCACAAACAGAAACAGATCCATCTAAAGAGACCTCCAATGCTACAACTCCACCTTCTTCAGCAGCTAAGGTTTCCAATATGGATTTACTGGAATCTTTGTTTATTGACATGACAACTCCACCAGTTGCGTCGACAGAAATTCCAGCTGCTACTGAACCTACACCAGTTGGAACTGTAGCTTCATCCAATGCCACTCAATCAGCTGGAGCTTCCCCTGTAGTTTCAAGTAGTTTTGGACCTCCTGTGGCTTCGTTTGAGAGTACCTTATCGTTTCCCAGACCAAATGATTCCACAGCGATACCGATACATAATCAGCATTCTGCAGTGCCCGTGGGGATCAATAGCCCCAATGTTCAACAAAGTACTGCACCATTTGGAGTTGCATATGGTCAGGTGAGAAAAGTTTGTGAAGTTACCCTAGTTATATGCATTACAAATGATGCAAAATTTTCCGAGACATTTAAAAAGTAGGCATAACTAAATGTCCAAACAATATTTGGCTGAAGTTGAAAAACAATATTTGGAAGTTGACGTTGTGTTTGGATATGAATTTCAGTAGAAAAAAGTTTGAAATTTTGTCTTGGGGAAGCATTATTTCACCTGAAATACTCCTTAAAAATAGTTTTTCAATATTTCACCAGTATTTCAAATGCTGAAATTCAGTATTTGTAAATGCGGAACTTCAGTATTTGAAACAAGGCTTGATGCAACTGATTCTGTTTCTCGTGCTTATTGGCAGAAAAATACTTTGCAACCTACAGGAAATGCTGAAGCACCACCCACGAATCCATCATCTCTTCAACCATCTCAAGCTGCCTCTATGTCAGCTCTAAATACTAGTCCATCAAATGATCCAAATACTATTGGAAGAAAAGAACTCCCAATGGTAACTTTCAAACTGGATTCTAAGCATCTTAAGTAGGTCGATATCGCCAAAAAAGAGTGTTAAATGGGGATAATTTTGATACAGGACCTTTTCACATTGAGCTATCCTCCACTTGCTGCAGCTGTTCCAGGTTGGCAGTTTCCCCCTCATGGAATGGCGTATGGCATGCAATACCATCCGTCTGTAATGGTAAGTCACATTTTAAAACTCTACCAAAAGTTTGAACCATGGAATAAGTAAATGTTCTAACATAAAATGAATTGGTGATTACAGGCAATTTCAGCTCCTCCAAACTCAGCAAAAACAAGAAATCCATTCGATATTGGTCAGGATGGCCCTCAAGTTCAAGCCCCAGAGGTACGTTGAGTTAATTGTGAACTAATGACAATCCACAATTCTTGTTCAAACCCGGTGTGTTCTGTACTATTTTTTGGAATATGAATTGCTACTTTTGAACAAAATGGTACCAAAAATGGTTTACTCTATAAGTTGTATAACACAATAATACAAATCCAGTTCAGGTTAACTCTATAAGTTGTAAGTTGTATTACAAAAATGGTTAATTCTATAAGTTGTATAACACCCTAAACTGGATTTGTTCACGAAAAACTCTATTCACAGCACGGAAATGAAAAGGAAAGAAAACAGTGAATTATATATCTCTTAGAATGGAAGTACTGAGATGATTCCCGTATGTCTTCCAATCATTTACATGCTCACCAAGGTTATTAACCTCTGGATGTATTTAGTTACTCCTAATGAAGCTAATAAGCTTTTCGTAACCCTGTGGGATATGTACCTACTATATACCAATAGATCGAACGTTCTAATTTCATTTCACTCTCTAACTTGAAGAAGTTCCTTCTTTTTTTAGTTTCCTTCAATGTTACCTATGCAAGCAGCACTACCAACAAATGTACAGCCTCAGCCTTATGCTTTGGCAATGCATATGCCTCCACAGACAACTAACTATGGGATGACCATTTCTGGAGGTAAGATCAACTTCTTATGACATTAGAAATCAAGTAAATGAATGTGCTCTCTCTGACTGCTTAAGTTTTTAGATGAGATGATCATATAGTTCAATATATACCAATATGGACTTTTCAACTCTCTGTTCGTGATGACATTTGATCTTATCTATTGCTAATGTTGCAGGGGCATATGCAGGGCAACAAATTCCCAACAACATGGCCCTTGCCAAGTAATGTTTCTGTTCTATATTTTTTGCTTCGCAATCTTAGACCACATGCTTTCGATATGTTTTTTTCGTGCAATTTGAACATAGATTAACCATGAATCAGTTGTTTCCTAAGATCCTTTTATCGGATAAAGAATTCACGGTATTAGTTCTTATCATGTTAATTTTACTAACATTTCAATCTTTCATCACAGTCCACAAGGGAATACTAGCTTTGGCAAAGATGATTCCGCCTTCCCTTCCTTAAATCCTCTTCAACAGTCCAATGATGCATTTTACACGCCAGCAAGATCAAACAGTTTTTCATCTGTAGGAGGAAATCCATTTGGATAGTCGAAAAAGCAACATCAAACATATATATATACACAAGACTCCACTTGTGTTCCAGTTTCTTGTATCCCACACACATGTACATCTTCTTAGGAGAAGTTAGTTTCAGTCATTCTGGTTAAAAGTGTATTGCTAGTAGCTGTATATATTCAAAGGCGGATTCAAGATTTTAAGTTTATGGTCGTCCTGAACTCACAATTCTTTTTTGCTTACTGGGTTCAGGATTAGATTGTTTATACGTATTAAGTGGATGGGGTTGGGTCAAAGCTACTACGTTCGGCTGAACCTGTAACACATATTGTAGATCCGTCTCTACATATATCAACTAGAGGCGAATCCAAGATTAAAACTACATTTGAATTTGGGAAAATGTGTATAACTGGATGTATGTACATTGGTCTTTTTTGCATTTGTCCTGTAATTTTTTTCAATTTGGTGATCAAGATGTTCTTGTTGAGAAACATAAAAGTATTTGAACTTGTTACAAGCCAATTATTTTGCATTTTTTGTTTCCATTCTCAGGGATCGAAACTTAATAATTTTGATTAACAGATCATATTCATCCTACCACAACTCTAATAAAAATACTTTGCCAAATCAAAGTCAACATGCTAAAGTATGGTTGTTCAAAATCGAACTGAAACCTATAATTTGAACCGAAAAAAATTATTGGTCTAGTGGTTCCGGTAATGGTTTGATGTTTTTTGCTATTGGGTTATCGGTTCTTAATGGTTTGAGGATTTCTCTTAACGGATTAATCGATAAGCCGATAGTAAATTAATAAATTAAATTTGTGTCATTCGGTATATAAAGTCCTTGTCTTATAATTTAGTTTCATATTCTTAATTCTGATTGTCTCAAACTTTTGATTATTCTACAATATGTCTGTATTTGTATTTGTATTTGTATTTGAGCAAGATGCAATATGTCAACTGATGTGCATGGTTCATTTGGTTTATCGTCTTGTTTCTAAGTGATTTTTAGTGATTTTTTAAATGTTAAATCTTAACGTTAAACTGATAACGACTGCTAAACAATAAATTGATAACCAATAAGTCAATATCTTAATAGCTCTATAACATTTAACATATTTATAAATCGATAACCGATAAACTTCAAAATCAAATCAAACTGACCGATACACACCCTTTTCTTTCTCTTTCTTTCAAAATTCAATTACTTATGACATATAAGAGCAAAATTGACCAACTCTTTTAGTCCAAGAAATATGCTATTTCATCCTAGACTCCAAATATTAGCTGTTTTGACACATTGTGTTTATTCCAAAATATTTGACAAGTAGTAATTTTTGAAGAACAAGAAATCATTTATAGTAAACCCCCAACTCCAACCCAAATTAATCTACATTTATTGTTCTGGTTAGTAGAGTGTTCATCAGTTGAAATGTTTAAGGAGAAAAAAAAAAACAAATACTCTTATGATTAGGATATTAACTATTTTTCTTAAAATACATATAAAAATATTAAAAGACAGATAATATGAATCGAATACCATATTTAGAAATCCTTTTTAATTCATTGGTCTCATTTTATTTATTTTAATGTCAAATGTAACCTTGAACAATTAAAAAGAGAATATTGATCTTTTATAATACAAAAGAAACAAACAAGTAATTCGTGAAATACATGAAGGGTAAGCTGGTAATTTCACTTAGTAAGTTTGAAGGAAGTTCTTAAGAGTACACATTAAGCAAATTGACTATTTAGTCATTTAGCTTCATATTTGTGAATGTGTTGAAAAATTTGCAGAGGTTTCCACAGCTTGCCAAACAATTTCCAATATTTGCACCACCTGCCCAAGTCAAAATTTCATAATTTCAATAGTTTGTTAGAAACCATAATAAAGAAAAAAGAAAAAAAAAACAATGTAAGTCTAAGTTGGTAGTCGGACTCTTCAAAAATGTCATCAGATTCGTGGTGGATCCTTCAAAAATAGTGCATTTTTGAGGATCCGACACAGGTGCAGCAACATCTTTGAATAGTCCAACCAACTTAGATGTAAAAGAGAGAGAGTTGAAAATGGAGGAGTACTTATCCCTTTATCAAACACGATTTTGTACTTAGGACTCGACTTTAAAAATCTCTAGTTAAGGATGAAGGGTACACCTAATTTCTTCTTCACTACAATCGTTGGTGGTGAAGCTAATTATTACTCTCTCAGTCCCACATTAAGTGTCTTAAGAGCATGATGTTTAAGAAATAAAAAAATACTTTTAATCTTGTAATGTTAAATTAAAGATGTGTTAGTACTTTAAAATCGTGATCCATAGAATATTAAAATTAAAAACTTACTAAAGGTAGAAATAGATACTTTTCTGAGAATTGAGAGAGAGGGGTAATTGACAACAAGGCAAGATAAGCACATTCGAGAACAACTTCTGGGTTAGGTCTTGTTAGTTTGGATTGGGCGGGTTCGATCAAAAATGTTGTGCTTACACAAAAGACTATCCTTCTTCTTAAAATAAGAATTTAGACGAAGACTATTTTCGTAAGACACTTAAATTAAAACAGTATTGTATATTAATTAACTCACTAAAAATTTCCTTAGCATCATAAATAAGAAAAAAAAATGAGATTACTTACCAAAGCTAAGTGGGATGCAAATCATCAAGAAACAACCACCTTGGCATAAACTCCCAAAATTTGAAGGAGATGATGATGTAGAAGAAGTAGAAGTACTAGGAGTGCAATTGTTCAAACAATTGTAATAGCATTGATAAGTTTTATCATTATCACTATTTTTTTGAAGAAGAAAACAATGATTGTAACATCCTCCCCAACAACCATAAATATCTCTTGTTGGCACAACTTCATCCTCCATTTTCACTAATTTTGACATCAAAAGCCATAAAATCATAATCATAACCATCCAATTAATTCTACCACATCCCATCATCTTCATATATAGATGATTTCTTGATTTTGATTTGATTTGATCTATTCTACTATTTGCACTTATTGGGATGTTATCTCAATGTGGTTTTTTCCATTAGTAAAAACAAGTATATAATGTACTTTAGGGAGTCCCAAAATGTAACTAAATTTGTCAACATGTGTCTTTAGTGTTTAGTTACTAACTTTCTTGTTCACATGAAACCAATTTGTCTTGTTTCATTTCCCAAGTGTATAACCCCCCTAGTTTCATCTAGAATATAATGGATATGTTTGACCGGACATAAAAATAATAATATATTTATTTATAGCATATATAAAAGTATTCTCTAAATATATGATTTTTAATATATCATTATATTTTAATATATGAATAGAAAAAGAAATATTCCTTTAGTTTTAATTTTTTTAATTTTATATTAACTTGAAAAGGAGTTTAAGAAAAAATAACAAAAAAAATTGAGTTGTCGAGGGTGTATATATTTTCATCTTTCACCCTCAACATTAATTAGTTAAGAGTAAACATTAACTAATATGGATATTGTGGTAAAATATTCATGTAAATCATTGTTTTTCAAAAAGTTTGCAAAGTCCAAACATAACAAGTGAAAGTGAACGGAGGAAGTACATATTAAAAATATATATATTATCCCCACACACACAAAGTTTCAATTTGTTTATCTAATTTTGAATTGACTCAAAATGTAAGTATTTTATTATAATACCTTATATCTTGAAAAATAATTTGGAGAATAAGTAATTGACATGAAGATTAATCTTTTCTTAATATGTTAAAAGTGATAAGTACTCCTTCCCTTTCATATTACTTATCTCATGTTTACTTGTCACACCCTTAAGAAAACTTTTATAGGGAATGTTTTTTTAGTAAACTAATATTATTAATGATATTTTGAAACTCTAAATTTGACTACTATTAAGAATAAAAAGAAATATAATATAATAATAAAACTCTCTTAATTTTCTAAATTGAATAAATAAAAAGAAATATTTACTTTTGATACAAAAGTAAAAAAAAAAAAAAAAAAAACAAAATAGAGTAGGTGAAAAATTATTTTTAAATAAGTGAAAATGAACAGATGTATATTTTCCACAATTGGACATGGGGATTTGAAACGCTTAAAGTCACAATTTCTACGCAATTTTTGTCTCTCATTTACTTTCTTTGGCTTCAAGTAGTAACTTTTTTTTCTCTTTGTTTCTGTTAGTTGGCTGGTGACTTGTAGATTTGGTTTTGGTTTAAATATGAAAAATATTTTTATTTATTTATTAAATCACTTGAAAATAATTGTAAAAAATCTTTTCCTATTAATTGAAGATATTAAAACGGATTGAGTTTCTCCTATAGGCTATAACTAGCTAGATGGGTTACGGCCCGTGTTGAGCACAAACTCAATATTAGTGTAAATTTCATATATGACATATATTATAGTACTATTTTCAGGCTATAGCAGTAGATTTAGACTTTCAAGCTATAACATTAAAAATTTCAGGTTATAACAAATTCACAAATAAAAGAAATGTTTTTATTAATTCGAAAAAAAGTTAAAAAAGAAAAAGAAAAGATAAACGAAAATTTTAAAAAAAAAACGGAACTAGAGATAATAAAGTAAAAAACTGAAAGTGTGGCCTGTAATTTAATTTGAATTTATTGTAGATAATTAATGATTAGCAAGAAATAAGGGATTCAAACAAATTAACAATATTTTTTATCCTTAATTCACTCAAAATCAGTTAAGATAAACTAAAAAATCAGATCATATCATTTTTTTTGTAGATAATTAATAAATAGCACGAATTAAGGGATTTAAACTAATTAAGATTATTTAGTATCCTTAATTCACTCAAATCAGTTAAGATAAACTAAAAAATCAGATTTTATCTTCTTCTTTTTTCAACGTTTCTCTCTCTTCAATTTGCAAAAAAAAAAATTCAACGTTTCTCTCTTCAATTTTCAACAAAAAAAAAATCCCACATTCGAGTAATTGAAGTTTTTTTCATCTTTGAAAATTCTTGATTTTGTTGTGATGGACAACTACGTATCAGTTTTAATCAAACATGGTAAAATATGGGATCCTTCGGGTTAGTATTTATTATTGTTTAACGTTTGTTTTAGAATAATAGCGAAATGAAACAAAAATGATCAAATTGTCGATTAATTGAAGGTGGAGTCATATTTTGTTAACTGTTGATATCATATTATGTTTACTGTTGTGAAATGTAAAAAATTTAGTTTTTTTTTTGTTTATTTGTTTATTTTGTATACGGTTGTTGTTTTGTGAAATTATAAATTTAATGTGATTTTATGAATAAATT